TAAAAGAGTAGCCCAAGAGTTGGCGGTGGGTGGTGATGACTAGCTGCCTTCCCTCTAGTCTTACACTGCCAAATTAGGGACGACTAACGCAGAAATTCATAACAAACAATCCATGATCAGGAAATTTCTAGTTCGTGAGATTTAATTCTTGAAGCCGGAATATTATATTTCCGAGTATTTAATTTTCTAGTTACTGTTGTAATATACTCGTATATTGCATGACCTTGGATAGTTTCGCTTGATAAGCTAAAGAACGACAGATTCGAATGTATCGTCATCAGCACACTTTTTCTTCGCAGTTTTCCAACGTGGTCAGCTAAGTTCGAGGAAGAGTACCCTCAACGAAAGAGACTATTGAAGACTATATACACGTAATCTTAATTTTTAGAGAAGCAACGTGAAAGTTTTTTTTTTAATTTATGTAAGTTAACATATAAATGTTAGCGTGGACAATGAGCTTATGCAACAACAATAATTTTGTTTCCGATAATCTGTAGCTTCAGAACGTTATGGCCCTTAAAACAAAACACTCCGTGAGATAACACGTAAGCAGGTCTCATCAATTGCTAAAGGTCTCGTATGTTAGAACATGCACGATAAAACACTACGTCGTCATTAAAACAACATTAGAAAAACTGAATAATAAATGGGATTTTATGCCAAACCTTATGATATAAGAATGTCGAACTTTTTATCGTGTTTTATAATGGCTCAGAAAGGTGTTCATAACGAAGATTTTTGTTGTCGTCAGTCTTTTATTTTTTGTTCTCTTTCTGTAAGTGTTTTACGTGAGTGTTAACAGAACAGCTTTCAGGACCGATGTATATATGTGTGTGACTGGTTTACATAGAAAAAATGTCGATCGAGCACATGTTGACCGTGTGAGTACAAGTCTTGAAGTGAACACAGTCATAGTATCTTTCCGGTGTGTCAACCTAGTGTGCACTTTGTTACGTAATCCCAAAAGCGTGGGTGGAGATGGTAACCATGTCTGGCTTGTTTCTAAGACCCCGAAGTTTTATAAAACAGTGAGGTATGTATCACGCACGGGTAGTGGTTTTTCAGGATGTGTTTGTTCAGCCTGTCTTATCAGTCAGTGAGAATATATGATATTGTTGTTGCTATAGAATTCGGGGGGAGGGGAGTGATTTCATTAAATAGTTTGTATATTTTATAACTGCAAATCAGCACCGCACGGTTTTGTATTTTCTATTTGTAAAATTTGTATTTCAACAGTAGAGAGTGTATATATGAATGTCATGAGTATTGAGTTTTGAAATGTTTCGTACGAAAGAATACAGAGCACACGTCACGTGCTCAATCAAGAAGGGCCGTCTCCCACAGTGTAATGTTAGAGGTCAAGATATTGGATGTCCAGTCAAAATCGCAGAAATTAGTATCTGTGTATATAGGTGGTAAAATTCCTGTAATGTAAAACAAAGCCTAGATACACAGAAGTGTGTTGGACATTCTCATATTGTTACACTGCTCCAAGTGGCATTAGATTGTAATTTCTAGAGATTATCACAAGGTAAGTTATACAACAGTAAAGTAAACATTGCAAAATAAAGGTCAGCAAATTAACTTTCATTTTATTACCATGGTTTCCATAGATAACAAGACTAAAATAGATATGCATCACTATATAGAATTATATAACTCTAGAAGCATTATCTTACCATTTGTTGTGTAATTACGTTCGAACAGAGTATATATATATATATATATATATATTTATCAATAATCGTGTTTAGCACTTAACTTTTCGCGCATATGTGTGCTTAGTAGATGATTATTATAGCTGTAACAATTTATAAACTGATACTGGATTCTTGTTAGCATTATACATTATATATACCCCCTCCCCTGATGGCTTAGTGTTAAGTCTGAGGACTTGCATTTCTCAAAATCGGGTTCAGATACCCGTGGTGGGCGCAACACATATGGTCTATTTTGTAGCTTTGCGCTTAACAACGAAGAAATAAACACAAAATCTATACGTTTAAGTGTCTAAATCATTTGTTAAAGAACTGGGTTCTTTTATACAAATGCCGTATTTTTCGGTGTATAAGACGCACTTTTTTAACCCCAAAATTTGATTTCAATATCTGCTTGCGTCCTATCCACCGAAGGTATGAATAATATATATGTATATATATACGATATACACAAGCCATGTGTAAATATA